GCCGTCTTCGTCCCACAGGTTGACCTGGGTGACGCCGGCTTTCTTCGCCGAGACCTGGATCTCTGTCGCCGACAGCGGTGTGACGGCCAGGAGCTCGGGGTTGTTGACCTGAACCTTGGGGATCTTCTTGTCGAGCGTGAGGATCCGACTCGTATTGGTCGTGATCTCCATGCGGTCGGTTGTGTTCTCGATCCGGCGCACGACCGAACCGTTATCGGTCATCTGGCCGACCGCAACCTGGGGCGCCGTCGTGAAACACACTGCGCTTAGCGAGAGCGCGAGCACGCGCCGCAACGGGCGGAGCATCTGGCTGGCGGTGAGGTCGTACATCCTTGTACTTTCCTGTTGCGGCGCCGCGTTGCGACGCCTCGGCCGTCGCCTAGGCGACAGCCTTCCCCCGATTGTTTACGCTCGGCCGAACCGATCCCTGGTCCGCCCGACCCCTTCGCGTCTGCTTAAACTCTCGCTTCGGCGGGCACACGGCCCGTCGCGATTACTTCAGTTCTTCGAGCTGGATTGGGAAGTCCGGGGGGGCGCCCGCGCCGCCCGCGTCCTTCTTCTCCCCGCCGAAGTCGATCTTTCCGTCATTGGTGAAGCTCACCGGTGCGCCGGCCGTCTTCGGACGACTGCCCGCAAAGGCCTCCGTGGCGCCACGCAGCGGCGCCCCGGTCCGCCGGTCGAAGTGCATCGTCGAGACCTCTTCGGCCTGGACGATGGTCATCTCAAACGGCGGAACTTCCTTCGACGCTTGAGACATCATGCCGACGACCGTGTCGAACAGGCTTGGTTTCTGGACTTTTACGGCGTCGCGATTTTGCTCATCGACGCGGGTATTCCGATCGCTGCGGGTGCCGAGGATGTCCTCGATCGTCACCTCGACCATCGCCGAGGCCGATTCGTCGTTCGGGTTCCGCGGGATCAGGCTCAGTTCACCCAGGTTCTGGGCGAGGTCGAGCTTGCTCGCTTGTTCGGGGGTCACCAACAACGACACCGTCTTGGGGATCGCCCGGGCGTCTTCACCTTCGGCGGTCCGCTGAACGGCTTGCTCGATGGCGAAGACGCGGATGTTTTGGAGGATGACCCGCGTCGTCGCGACGGGGACGCCGTCACGTTGGCTGGCGGCCATGAACAACTGCACGTCGACGCGGTCGCCGGGGCTCAAGAGGCCCGCGGCGACCTTCTCGGCGTTCACTGAAATGGTCGAGAGGCGGTAGCCATCCGGGATGTTCGCCACGGGGTCGGCCGTCTCACCCTGCGCTAGCAGCTGCGCTTCGAGGATCGGCGTGCCGGCGACGATCGTTGTCCGCGGGCGGCGACCTTCCAGGTCTTCTAACTTCGAGATCGAACCTTTCGGCGCCTTGCTGGCTGGCCACTCTTCGAGGGCAACCATCCCGGCGCCAATCGGGTCGCCCAGGTTGATATTGTGGAGCGCCACATAGATGGGCGTCGTCTCGAGCTGCACCGCGGGGCGGTTGGCGTTGGCGTCCATGACACGGCTAATGCCGATCGACGCCGCCAGGCCGCAGCCGAGCGCGAGTGCAAGCAGTATGAGCGATTTGGGTCGCATGTGGTCTCCCCCCACGTAGCACCGGCGCCCGCTCTACAGAGCAAGCGCCCGGCAACCCGCTGTAAGGCGGGCTTCGTCGGTTACTTCGGCACGACCGGCGCATCCGGTCCAGGAATTACAACGAACGGTCAGCAGCTAGCGGTCAGTCGTCAGCGATCAGCTTTCAGCTAGCAGGAGCCGCGGCTATTCAACAAGTAGCTCACGATTGGTTCGGACCAACGTCGATTCTCTGGTCCCTAGCCACTCGTCTCTCAAACAAGCATCCCGGCCCAAGCGAAGTAGGCGATGGTCCCGATCGCGATCGGGATGCCATACGGGAGCAACATCATCCGCGGCTTGCGTTCCTTGGCGATCGCGGCGAGTTGGTCGGGGTCCTTGATAGTGAGGATCTCATTGAGGATCGACCAGAATTGCCCGTGGTGCTTATCCCAACGGTTCTTGTAAACAACCATGCCGACAGCGATGACCGCTCCGACGATGGCTGTTACGGCAAACGAGTAAGCGGTGTGGGTGCCCCACACCCAGGCGCCGATGCCCGCCATCAACTTGACGTCGCCCGCGCCCATTCCGCCGATGGCGTAGGCGGGGAGCAGAAGAGCAAGGCCAACCACGGTGCCGATCAGGCTGTAGACCAAGCCTTCCCAGCCGGGGTACTCGCTCAGCGTGTAGCTATACACCCAGCCGCTGAGGATCATCGGGAAGGTAATCCAATTCGGAACCTTCAGTTGCAGGCCGTCGATCACGGCGGCGACGACCAGCGTCACAGTAACGACCCAAACGGGCCAGTTGGCTTGAAGGGCGTCTGCCAGGTTAGCGAAGTCCATGGTCGAGGGCCTGCGCGGCGTTGTCGGAAGGGAGGCTAGTAAGGCGTTGTTGCGGAGCTCGCCGCCTCGGAGAGAATGGCGAGCCGTCGAAACGTAGCCCGCGGTGAGTGACGGCGCGGAGACGCCGTAGCTGGGGGCGTGTTTTCACTAGACCGGATAATCGGTGTCACCGGAATGAGAAGGAACCGAACCTGCAGGCGTCTTTCCACACACAAAAAAACCCGACCGGCCCCAGAGGGACCGGTCGGGCTTGCGAGATAACGCCAACCTAGCAGGGCCAGGTCGCCGTAGCTGTCGATTGCCGTTTAGCTGCCCAACTGACCGGCGACTTCACTGAACGTCGCGGTCGCGTTGGTGCCGATCGAGCGGATAGCGGTCAAACAGACGATCACAATGAGCGCCAGCATGACCGCGTACTCGACAGCCGTGGGACCGTCTTCCGAGGTGAGGAAACGTTGAACCTTTTGAGCGAAATTCTTCATCACAATCCTCTCCGGATTTAGGGGCCCGACCCGCACGGTGTGGGGTTGGCGGGGCGTGGCCCTGCTAGTGACGAGGGCGTCGGAGCCCTCGATGGCTGACCTCTTCGCGACCTCCATGCCCGAAGGCATGAAGCGAGCCCGCCGGGCGTCGCGCGTTGGTCGGTTAGAACGGAATTGTGCGTATCAACCTTTTGAGGTGTTTCCATTCCGTCCGCGACGTTTGGCGAGCAAACTGATCGCGGGTTCCATCGGCAGCCAGGCTGCCCCTCGACAAAAGGGGCCCTTGGCTTTGCGCCCCCGCCTTGCGACGGGTTTGCCTTTCTCGGTGGAGGAATACGCGGCGGGCTCTTGCTGTTATTCCCGGGGTAACGCACGCGGCGTGACAGCGGGCAAAAGCTCGAAAGGAAGGAGGGAAGCTGGAGGAGTCGATTTGAGGAGGGGGTCAGAGAAGCGTCGCATTGGGCGTGAATCTCTGACTTCACAGCAAACCTATGTCAGCTTCCGTCCGAGTCAAATTGAGAGAGAATATTTTTCCGCGAATCCTTCGGGACCCTCGTTTGGCAAGCCACGTCACGAAAAGGAACCGAGGGCGTAGCCGCCCAGAGCGACTCCGCTAATTAGCTAGTCACCTACTT